TTTAGCTTATATCTATGATTATCGAAATTTGTTATGTATCAGAAACTAACACCAAAACTACGATCGTATACGGCCGTCATTTAAAACTGCTGTTTACGAGAGCCGTAAACGAGGATCATACAAGATCGTATTTCTCCGTTTACGGCCGTATACAACCGTTGGTTTTCGACGTGGATAGTTGTCGAGGTGGAAACAGCAAACTTCAGACTTCAAGTGACTTCAACAACAAAGACTTCAAATTTTCAAAAGACTTCATGAGATTTCACAAGATTTTATGTGACTTCAGGAGACTTCATGTGATTCCTCATGACTTCACGAGACTTCACTAGACTTCAAAAGACTTCGAGACTGAATGAGCGATCGAGAAGCCTTAGAAATGGCATCAGATTTTTGTACCACGCAAAACACACCATCTATTAGATACAGATAAAAAAGAATTTCTTTTCATAATTCTATATAAGAGTATATATATGTATAAGATCAATAAAAAAAGAAAATGCAGCTAAAATTTTTGTTTCAAAATTAGTAGATTTTCAACATATTTCTTCTTTTCTCGTCATCATCAGACTAAATTCAACTCCAATCTATCATCAAAATAGAACTTATTCATAACCATTATTCATAATTTCACCATTTGTTTCAAAGATAAATACTCATGGTAAATTGAAATGAAAATTTTAGCTGCATTTAATCATGCAAAAGAGCTAGTTAGTAATTTGAATATATTGACTTCGTTAAAGAAACACAGTGCTTTTGAATTACATGATTTAAGTAAAAATATATTTGACAGTGTTAGATTGAAGATTGATTCAGATAATTATTTGATAGTTGATTCACATTCATCATCAAATTCTGAATCTGATTATGGTGATGAAATAATGGAAGGTAATGAAGTTAATAATGATTTGATCAACTTGAATGGAGAAGATCAAGACGTGACAAATATACAAAATGTTGATGAAATTAAAATTAATAAGATGAACTTTAAAGGTATACGTATATTCGATTCGATCAATCCAGCATTGAAGAGTTCTTATTTTCAGGTGCAAATAAATAGCAAGCGTAAATTTATACATAAGCAAACAGCATGTTGGTTATTGACCGACAAAGCTAGCCGTTTATCGGCTGACAAACTTTTCCGAGTGATAGAAGCAAACACAAAAGACTAAAATTCCTCATAACTTTGATATCTAATTGACAGAACATTTCGTATGGAAATGTACAATTGTATTAAAAGGAATTGAACTATTAACTATGCTTTTTTCAAGTTCAAGGGAACACGAACTTTTCCAGCAGACTGACAACACAATAAAAGTTCACATTTCTGCTGAAATAAAGATCGTTTAAAAACGTTACGATTTCATCGTGGTTCTTATGAATTTCTTGTACACTAAGTATACGTCGAAAAATCCAGAAGATTTCATGGGACTTCACCTGACTCCATGAGACCTCATAAGACTTTAAGAGAATTCATGAGACTTGATGTGACTTCATAAGATTTCGGGAGACTTCATGAGATTCCATAAAATTTTAAGAGACTTCATCGGACTTCAAAAGCGAAGTCTCAGTTGTTTCCTCCTCGATAACTGTTTACAATAGTACGATACATATGACGGTGATGTGCAAGCAGACAAACTTTTCAGAAAACGCGCAAAAAACGGAGAAAAATGGCCGTTTTTGGCTCACACTCGTGGTCTCCGACTGTGAGCCAAAAACGTCCATTTTCCTCCCTTTTTGTACGTTTTCAGACAAGAAACGGGTGTACACGCGTACAAAAAAGAGAAAAAGTGTTCGTTCTCTCATACTCCAGATGGATGATCATGATTACAGTAATGTTTCTGGAGTTGGGAAACAAGACAACCTTTTTCTTTTTTTTGTATGCGTGTACACCCGTTTCGTCTCTGAAAACGCACAAAAACGTCCACTTTTTGCCGATTTTAGGCCAATCTCTGTGCGTTTAAACGCGTTTTCTGAAAAGTTTGCCTACCTGGGTGATGATATGTAATAACATTAATGATGAAGGCTATAATAATTAATTTATAGTAGTAATAATAATAATAGGAATATATGCATATGTTATTTAATCTAACTTTAATCTAAAGCTGTCAAGTCTCCAGACCCATCATCAGTAGTATAATCATCATCATCATTGTTATCGTACTATCGTAAACAGTTAGACTAGATCATATACTATATACATATGAAGAAAAAGAAATATACATAAAGTAACTATATAATTCATATAAATAGAAATAAAATATAAGAAATATAAGGCTGCATTACTTGTAACTTTAATTGTTAATATTAACGCATAGATAAGTATAACGATTACTTTTATCTATAAATATGAGCGTCATTTATCATTAAATTAAAATGTTTGATGTACGTGTGGGTTTCGGTGTCGGACAAGAAGAGAATCAAGCCATACTCAGATTCTGTTAAATCTTATCATATTCGAATTTGAAGAAGGATGAACCAATAATTATATCCTTTACTTGATGATTTAATTACTTCGAGAAGAACAGATTTTATGTACGTAGAAAGTTGTTTCAGAAACATATACAGTGCGGTGCATAATTATAAGACCACTTGTTTTCAAAGTGCACTAAATAAAATGAGCGATATTTTTAGTGATTTCACATAGATGATTCATAAGAATAGCGCTATAAAATTTTCAA